GCATGAAGCACTGAACTCACTTTCTATTACATTTACAGATCCGTGTCCAACACAAGCATGAAAGCTGCCGGGGGAAATGTCCAGTTGTGTGCATTTAATTTATTTATTTACATTTGTTTTAGTTTGAAATGAAAAGGTAAATGGTTTTGTACCTTAAGGGTGGATGCTTGGACATTTACTCAAAATGATATACAGTATACAATTAATAATTAAATATGCAAATCCTCACCCTTCCTTCACACCACCATGTCTCTCCTAATACATAAGTCTGGCTTTCTCAAGTACAAGGAGGTTATTTAAAGTCCAAAACTTTAAGGATGCACGTCTTTTTACAGTATTTAATATTTCTTGGTTGGTTTTTGTTGTGTAAACTTGATCTGCAGGATATTGGAAAAATCTGACATTGTGATCTTCTGTTTTACTGCGATATATATACCGATATGAATATCATTTGACAAGCCAATTTAAAGATTTCATTCATTTAGAGTGACTGAGATGGTCAAGTCTTTTTCATACAGAAGATCTGCATAAAATATGATAAATTACAAGCAAAAACAAATAAACAGTGCTTTACTGTTTTCTGCAGTCTAACAGTGTTCAAGTACAGAAATTAAGCAGTCAAATGTAAAATAGCATGGTCATCAGTGTGTATATATAATTAAAAAAATAGTATTTAATAATGTTTATCTTTTAATCTTTAATAAATAATCTGATCTTGATGTGTGACTTGCTGATACATAACTCTGTGATATCGATGATCAAATGATATATTGTTCAGCCCTAGCGTTAACAATGTAAAAGTCTAATGCATTCATAGCAACATTTCTGTGTGTTGATTCAAGGCAGGGTGAATCTTCAGATTTGATTAGTTGATTTAAATGCAAGTTTTTGTCCTATTTATGAACTAATGTAGAGAGCAAGTTCATAGTAAGCTAACATTAAATCAACAATGAAACTGCTTGATTGCAGACATGATTAACCACTCGATGCCCTTAAACACTATAGTAGTTTATGAACATATAAAAGCAAACTAAAACCAAGCTTATAAGGTGTAAACTGACTGATTGAATGAAGTGTGGACATTTTTATAATGTCGTTTCACACACACAAAAAAAAGATGTGAGCCAGCAGCTCAGCAATCAAACATACACACACACACACACACAAAAGAACTTTTGTTTCTAATAACAGCCTGCTGTTTACTTGGAGACAGTTTAAATCAGTGTACTGTGGTGCTGTCATTATATCTCAGCTAAAGTAAATGTGTAAACTGTGTGTGTGTGTGTGTGTGTGTGTGTGTGTTTATGGTAAGGGTTGATCTTGCAGAGGAAGGGATTGTGAAGGAGTAGTTTCTGACAGTAAGACAGATTTCCTTCCACTGCTTTCCATTAGTTGTTGTGAGGACAGTAATTTCCGGTAGACGTAACCGTTCACTTGCGGATGCTTCTCCTGCCAATTGTGTTGCCAAGTAACAGACCATTTCAACAAGGATCGCAGCTGAGACTGGAGTAAATCCTGAAGGTGGAAAACGCTCCACATACTCAGCCCCTTTTCTCATTAATGATAAAAATTTAAAATTAGTAATAAAGAAATGTGAATAATTAAACACTGATAAGCCTTTTAACAATAGTTTATTAAATGTTTTACATTTTTATTTTAGGCTGTTTGACATTTTTCATATTCTGTTTTGTTTGCAAATTTAGTGTTTTCTACTTAAATTATTATTGATTCAATGTTTTATTTATTTATTTTATTTACCTGTATTTTAAACTTTTTTTACTTTTATTTAATTTTTTTTATGATGAAAGTTAGTGATAGAAAGATGAATAATTAAACTATTAATCTGCTACAAATTATTATTATATTTATTTTTTAGGGACTATGAACATACTTTTTAGTTCTCCTATCCTGTTCAGTTTTTTTTAATTCAGTGTTTTATTAAAATTTTATACCTAAATTATTTTCCCCTATTTTATATTCTTGTGCTTTTTATGGTAAATTTTAAGTTAGTAATAGAAAGCATGAGTAAATAAACAAATTCATTATTTATCGACAATAATTGATTAAAAATGAAATACCTTTGTCAATCAGCGTTTTCTACTTTAAATTTGACCATAATAGTCCAATAAACATAAAATAGAAAAAAATCCAGATAAACAAAGTTGGTAATAAAGAAATATGAATAATAAAACATGCATAAGTCTTTCAAAAAAAATTTATTAAAAGTGTGTGTAACATTATTTTAGGGCCTATGGCATATTTTCATATTCTGTTCTGTTCTCGAATTTAGTGTTTTCTATTCAAATTATTATTGATTCAATGTTTCATTTGTTTTATTTAAATGTATTTTTTTCTCTATTTTTTATTTTCTTGAACGTTTATCTATGATAAAATTTAAAGTTAGCACTAGAAAGCATGGATATTTTAAAACGTTTATTAATCTTCAACAATTTATTATAATATTTACTTTTTAGGGACTATAAACACTTTGCCTATTCAGTTTTTTTAATTCAGTGTTTGTAATTAAATATTTCTAGATTCCAGGTTTTATTTTTATTTTTTATTTACCTGAATTAATTTTTTCCTCTATTTTCTTTTTCTTTTTGTGGTAAAATTTTAAATTAGTAATAAAAGCATGAGTAATTAAATTCATTATTTATCAACAATAATTGCCTAAAAGTTAAGCACCTTTTATTTTTAATCCATCTTTTTTTATTCTGTTCTGTTCTCCTATTCAGTGTTTTCTACTTTAAGGAAAATTTAAATAAAATTAAAAATGCAGGTAAATAAAAAATAAATAAATGAGTAAAAAATTGAATCAAGGGAAATTTAAGTTGTTAAAGCGTAAACGATTAAACAAACAACTTTTATTTTTAGTCCCCATGACATCTTACTCTGTTCTCAAATTCAGTGTTGTTCATTTCAGGCTGAGACTGTAGTTCATCTTCAGCGTTTTTCCTCCTGAAGGTGGTTAAAGCTCCCCGATCTCAGATTGTGCACTGAAAGCATCTCCTTCAAATACCTGATTATAGTTTCAGTGGCTGTTGTTGGGCTCTGTTGTGCCGCTGAAGGGTATTAAGTTCTGTTCTCTTCCTGCACAGCACAGATGAAGCCCTTTCAATGCTGCTTTCGGCCCCTCGCTGGGCCCCCGCACTGCTGGCAGCAGGAGAGCGATCCTTCCGGAAGGGTGGATGGCTTGTGTGTGTGTGTGTGTGTGTGTGTGTGTGTGTGTGTGTGTGTGTGTGTGTGTGTGTGTGTGTGTGTGTGTGTGTGTGTGTGTGTGTGTGTGTGTGTGTGTGTGTGTGTGTGTGTGTGTGTGTGTGTGTGTGTGTGTGTGTGTGTGTGTGTGTCTATTCTTTTAAGAGGGAATAGAAAAACAGGAAAGGAGGTCGGCGGAGGGAAAGGGCCTTTTGTAAGCAGTGATCTGAGCTAATGTAGAGTTGTGAGAACAAATGGAACAAAACTGTCTTTGAAACAATGCAGATTACTGGCTAAACGAGTGCTTGAATGCTAGCAGTGTTGACTAGCGATGTGAGAAACTCAAATCAAAGCAATTGCCACAAAATGATTTGAAATTGCAATGTTGAAGTGTTTGAAACAGCACATGCTAAAGACACCTGCTGGCCAAAACTGTAAATTCAACTAAATAAACAACAGAAAATATATTTGATGTATGTAAAATATATATAGAATAGCAAGTTTTGAACTTTAAATCGAAAGTATAACCTGTAAATGAGCTTAGCATATCATCTAAACTTTAATTATTTAAATATTACGTGTCTACATAATGTGTGGGCTCTGCTAAATAGACCAACAAGAGATTATTAACTAATGTTGTTAGTGCTGTCAAACTATAAATCACATCCAGAATAAAAGTTTGTATTTATAAAATATGTATGTGTACTTGCTGAATACAAATAGTGTGTGTGTGTGTGTGTGTGTGTGTGTGTGTGTGTGTGTGTGTGTGTGTGTGTGTGTGTGTGTGTGTGTGTACACCGCCTGCCTAAAGTCTTGTCATAGATCTCAGTTGTAAGAGCGACTTCTAGTTGATCATTTGGAAAAGTGTCAGCAGATGGATTTCCCAATCATCACACATACTGCAGAAGACCTACTGGAACCGCATGGAGCTAAGATTCTCAGAGAAATCAGTCAAGTTTGGTGAAGGAAAGATCATGGTTTGGGGTACATTCAGTATGGAGAGATCTGCAGAGTGGATGATCAACATCAACAGCCTGAGGTATCAAGACATCTGTGCTGCCCATTACATCACAAACCACAGGAGAGGGACAATTCTCCAGCAGGATAGCGCTCCTGCTCATACTTCAGCCTCCACATTAAAGCTCCTGAAAGCAGAGAACGTCTGGCTGCTCCAGGATTGGCCAGCCCAGTCACCAGACATGAACATTATTGAGCTGATGAAGGAGGAGGCGCTGAAGATGAACACAAAGAGTCTTGATGAACTCTGGGATCCTGCTGAAGGCTTTCTTCTTCATTCCAGATGACTTTATTAATCAGTGATGTGAGTCATGTCAGAGATGTACTGTATGGATGCAGTCCTCCAAGCTCATGATGGAGTCAGACACAATATTCATTCTGTCTCCACTGCAGCAGGACTTTATATTCTATACTGGACATTATTTCTGTTCAGTGATGAGACTTTAGTCTGAGCAGAGTCAGACCGCACTGTCCTCATCAAATCAGTCAACATCAAGACATGATCAGATTTATTGAGCTCAAATCAGCAAAATCTAGAGGCCTTCACCTTTCATAGAGACACATCTGACACCCAATGATCAACTAGAAGTCAAGTTAGTATTTGTTGCTCTTTAAACTTGAATAGGCCTGAAGACTTAGGTCAGGTAGTGTATATATGGCTAATGATGTTGACTTCAGGAACAGTAAAACAGAAAATGTCACCAGTTTTAAAACCTTAAGACTTCTCAAAACCAGTTATTGTCCCATGCCTACTCACTACAATCCCTCCTTTGTTTCTCTTCCAGAGGAAAGCCTGCCAACGGGGACTACCGCAAGGACCCCCGGGAGCGCAGCCGCAGCCCCATCGAGCGCATGGCGGCCCCCAGCATGAGTCTGGTTGGTGGGCATCATCTCTACATGCCCAGCCTGGCCCTGGACCAGCCGCTCGCACTGACCAAAAACATGGACTCCAGCCGCAGCATGGGCATCTCTCCTACTGCCAGCCCTGTGGAGCGCCAGCAGGTACAGACACACCGCTGCAGTCATTCACATTCACCAGTCAAAAGCTCCTTTCAGTCTTATAATAGAGTCTTCAGTAGCTTCTAGTTTAAGGTCTGTTATCTTTAATAATCACAGATCTTCACTGCCTGATTGATATATGAATGTACAATAAGCGCTGTATTAAATTACATTGTTCAGCGTCCTGTGTTTACAGTATGAACATTTATTTTACCACAGTATTTTCAATGGAGTTTCTGCACTCGCCTGCTGATGCTGGCGTCTCTTGTTTAAATGGATTTTCATCAAGTTTTACGCTTAAGCAACTAAATGAATGCTTGAGTCTATTTAATTGACTATTTTAATTACCTTACATCATCTAAAAGAAACTGTATACAATTGAAAATAGTCACATTAACCTTTCACCAGACGTTTATCGGTAGGAGATGAAACACTGTTTGGGGGTCTTATATTTTTGGAGCCTGAGATCTTTTTCAGGAGAGAGACTTGTTTACAAGTGGCCTGAGATTAGGCATATGCTCGCTTTAACTTGTATTCTTAGATAAAACCTTAAACTGTTGAAGATTTGTATTTGTTATATTATTATGTATTTTCTTATCTATTATTAATTTGCATTTGATGAAGTTTTTTATGTTTAACGTATATCAGTTTCCTCTTGGATTTTTTCCAGCTGTGGCGGCAGGTCTTTTACACAAATCTACCAAATACCTATGCGGTTATTTCAATGACAAATAGAGAAAAGTGGTGAGAGCAGGATTACGCCTGGTTTATACTTCTGCGTCAAGTAACCGGCGTAACCCACGGCGCATGCAACGCGTGTAGCTGTGCATTTATACTTTTGCGCTGTCTCTGTTGGTCTGCATTAACACTTCTGAAACGCTAGTTGGCAGTGAGGTGTAAATGTGTCTCTGTGTCGAGTTTCTTCACTGCTGTTTTGTACTTTCTGAACACTTCCGGGATGTACAAGTGGCTCAAACTCGCACATTTTGAGGCAGGAACCGGCGGACGTGCAACAACTTTAACTATGAGGTAAACACAGAACAAATCTTTCCATCCGGAGCTCCTTCACGGGACTCCACACTTGTTAACAATCGCTCCATCGGGCTCACGCGGCTCTCGGTCCCGCCCAGACTCGTCAGCGCTACCAAGCCGACCAATGACAGAGCTTGCACTACGTGTCGTTGCAACGTGTAGTTACATTTTTTGAGAGGTGCACGTCAGCGACGCTGACAGCCATGGCGTAGGGCTATGCGTCAACGTGTAGGCTGCGCCGTAGCATATGCGTGCGCTTGACGTTGAAGTACAAATTAGCCTTTACACGTCGGGATCACATTTAAGTAACATTAATACGAGCATGCCAGTCTCTGCTTGCGCGCTGATTTCCTCTGCTTGTGCACAAAACTTCTTGCACGTTCTCAAACACGCTGCTCAAGCGCAGATCTTCTTGTGCGCTCTCAAATAAACGCTGCTGAAGTGTGATTATGATTTATGTAGCGAGTATGTCTTCAACATTTATTAGATTTGCTGGGAATATTTCTGAATGTCTCCAATAGACCTAGAGAGCGGGATTAATGCGTCCTGGAGTAAAGTGAAATGGCAGTAAACTCCAGCAAGATAACATTAAAGTCTTTGTATGCAGAATCACAGACCTTTATCTATAAGTATAATTATGTAAACTGTTCATCTTAACTGAAAGCTACGTCGTGTTTGCTGGCCTCAAGCATGTCAGCAAGTCACCTTAAAATGTTGAACAAATAGCGCACAGCCCTACTAACTTACGGTAACAGAAAAGTTTGCGCTTTTATAATTGATTTACCTTTTAATGCGTTTTGGTGCGATTATAACCCACTATTAAAAACAACAACAACAATGAATGAAAGAATGACTGTAGCTGAAACCATATATATATATATATTTATTTATTTATTTATTTTAAATTCACATACAGGGACCCGTGCTTTGTCCTTATGTAATTTGTAAACGTTCATATGAAGCTGTTTTAGTCATTATATTGGCCCCTTCTTTAAACTGGGGTTTTCCAGTGTTTTAAGATGATCTGCTGCTTGTGGGTTAAATTTGGGTGCGCAAGTGACCCACTGTAACCCACCGAGAGAATACGGTCATTTTTCAAAATAAAAGACTTTTCAAAATAAAAAAGATCCTTCAGACACGGATAAATAAAACAGAAATAATTTATGATTTCTTGTGCGGCCTGGTACCAGTTGATCCAGTTGACTTCTAGAAACTGAAATTCCCACCATGATTACTGTGAACTCTCCTTTTGTGATATTTGGCAGGGGTATTAATGTACCAAGCTGTTTAATTTTATTGTGAACATATTATTATAGTTATAGACACGTGATGTTTATAAAATGTGGTAAACTTGATCTGTGTTTTATTTAATTTTTTTGCCATGAAGAAGCTGATATGGACAAACTCAAATCTCTCCATCTCCCATGTATATTATCTTTATTAAACAGAACATTGGGAAAATGTATAAAATAATTACTTTAACTGGAGGGCTAATAATTCTGACTGTGTGTGTTCAGAACCGGCCCTCTGTGATCACCTGTGCTCCAGCTAACAACCGTAACTGTAACCTCAGCCACTGCACCGGCTCCCACAACGGCTGCTCCCCCGGCCTGAACGCCAGCTACAGGAGAGCCTCCAACTGTGAGTACAGCAGGAATACTGACCCACCAACACATCACCACAGACAATACGCTGTCACTCCATCATCACTGAACCCTGCAGGATCCTGTAATGTGGTATTAATATCGCCTAATACTGAATTAACATTGCAGATCCTCTGATGTCAGTCGGCAGGGGAAGATAACCGGTTTTCCACAGTTTAGTAAAGTCATGGTTTTAAAACTGCTAAATTGTTCTGTTATATCACTCATGCGGTAGATTAATTATTGTTTAACCTGTCACACTTATTACAATAGCATCTCTTTAGTCAGGGGTGCCAAACTCGGTTTGTGGAGGGCCGCTGCCTCACACAGTTCAGTTCAGGACTCGGCAGCGCTGTTCCCTCGGCTCTACCTTCCTGCAGATTTCAGTTGCAACCCAAATCAAGCACACCTGCCTGTAATTATCCAGTGCAGTGCTAATCATTTAATTTCTCTCTCCGTGTCTCAGCGAACACCGCCTGTGACCCTGTGATCGAGGAGCATTTCCGCCGCAGTCTGGGCAAGAACTACAAGGAGCCCGAGCCCGTCACAAACTCCGTGTCCATCACCGGCTCGGTGGACGACCACTTCGCCAAGGCTCTGGGGGAAACGTGGCTGCAGATCAAGGCTAAAGGAGGCTCCAGCTCCCCGGACGCCTCTCCAAACACACACATGGTGAACCACAATCACTCCCCGTCCCTGGTGTCTTGAAGACAGGACCACAAACACACACACACACACGCATGATTAGCAGCGCAGACGTATCGCTAATGTACATACCACCAGGACGAGCTCCTAAACTCTCCAAATCTGCTTATTTTACTGCTTTTCTAAGTATGCTAGTGTACTTTTTTTTTTTTTAGCATTATGGGATGCCCATATCTTTACAGACAGCTTTTATTTTGTTTGTTTGTTTGGTTCTTGAGATTTGAAAGAAAAGAAATCAGCCAGATATGATCTAACCATCTGCCTCAGATACCAAAGAAAACGCTGATGCAAACCTTTTTTACCCACAAGCCATTGCAAGCCGTTCTGTCTGTGGCATGCTCTCTCTCTCTCTCTCTCTCTCTCCCGGTGGAGCCTGACTCTGTATGTGTATACTTGAAGACAAACAAAAGCAGAGAAACGAAAGCGGAGGGCCTGGACTGATTTTGCACTATGGATGGATGGAGGTCGTGTCAGTTTAGTGTCACACACACACACACACACACACATGTTAGATGTTCAGAAATGGCTCATGCAGACAGGAAGTGATCTCTTTTTATGGTGTTTATGGGAGAAAGCTGATCTTATTTTATTATTTCGGATCTGGCACTTGACATTAGTCTCTCCGGTGCTGGACCGCGGCAGACGTGGGCATTCTTCTCGTTTTGCGTTGGTTCGTTTGTTGGTTATTTCCTCCAGGCACTGTGGTTTGAGTAGAGTAGCCGGTTTAAGGTTAAGCTAGTGCTTTATACGTGCATGTTTTTAAAATAGCTGGTATCTATTATTGTGTAGACATTTCAATCGTAATACTTTTACTTCTCTCTCTTTATTCAGATTCGACTTTATTTTTGTCAGTAACAGTCCTAGATAAACTTACTGCTGGTACAGTTGTACTCCATATTATTCTCTTCTAGTCATTATTGATGGTGGAAGCTGCCAGATACAGAGAGATCCGCCTCGGGACAGGCCGTCTATATATGAACGCTGGGCTTTTGTATAGTTGTTAATGGGTGGTTGAGGACGCACGACTCAAACTGCAGCAGCAGCTCTAGATGACTCTGCTGGAGCGCTGACAATCTACTACAACGGCAAGCGCATGCGTGCAGGTGTGTGTGGCTGTGTGCATGCATGTGCATCCTTGTGTGTGTGTGGTTTTGTCCATGCGTGCATTCGTTCATGTTGCGTGCAAGTCTGTGTGTATGCGTGCTAGGGTTGGGCGATGTCGACCAATTTGGTACGATGTCTAATCATTGCGATGGACGATGGCGTTGTTGTCGTAGGTGGTGGTAAATTAATTATTTATGAATAATTAATTAATTCATAACGAATTAATTAATTGTAGCCTACCGTTTCAACTAGCTGAGCCGCATGGTCTTTGTTTTACCCATACCTAGGCCCACCCTGAATCTGCACACGCAGAATTAGCCAGAATTAGCCTTATTCTGTTTACTCACTTGTGGAAATTTAGATTTATTCAGTTTTTACATTAATTCCAGTAATATTATTGACTAAAATGAAAATATTTATATGATTTATTTACAATATAGTTTGTAAAGTAATGTTTTCTGTCTTTTAGTAGGGATATTATATGAGACATTTGCTTTGTTTACCATATAAACTGGACCTAATTGGATTTGCATTGTAAACATTAAATACAAGGTAAAAATGTATTACTTCTTAGTTCATATATTACGGTTTTAGTTGTACTCCCAAAATCATTCAGCATAAATCTGCAGATTTTTCACAACATTTTGTGCAGAAATAGCTAAAAATGTCCACAGATTCTGTCTGACCCTGCCCATAACCAAATCATAAATGAATAAAGATCAGTCACACAGATCACTTTTCCTGCAGGACTCTGGCATGAATAGGAGTGATCTGTGTCGGTATAATGGCGTCCACACACTTGGTTGGTAAAAAAAGATGCACAACCAACAGCAACCAACAGCAACCAACAGTATCTGAGGTTTACACTAAAATGACTGAGTACAAGCGTGAAGGCGGAAGACTGAAGCAGTGTACTGACGCTGTGACACGTTTACTGATAGATTCAAAAGAGTGAAGAGTCGTTAAATAGAGGCAAGATGAGTTAAATAGCACCATTAACAACTATAGTGAGACACCATCCAGCGAGACATCCTTTATAAACTGTCCGGCTTGCACTGCTCTCTGGGGTTTGTGCTCAAAGCACCTGCTGACTGCCTGGAGCTCTGACGTGCGCATGCCAGAGTGTGTGTGTGTGGTCAGCAGTATAGTGTGGATGGAGAGCTGTTCAGGAATGCTATGTGTAGGCCAGTATCAGATTCTGACGGTATGGGTATGATAACCTTGGATATAAATATCACGGTTTCATAGTATTGAGATTGCTGCTCTAATATATTCTTTTTAAATGTCTGGCTAAAAAACAAAACCTTTTACCCTTTTGTACACAATATATTTTAATTTGAGAAATATTTATACTATTTTGGAGCAGTAAACAGGTCAGGCTGAATAATTCAGTTGAATTATTGACTTCTGTTTTCATTTGTTTCTAAAACTTTTTTACCATTTGAAACGGCATCTAAAGCTGTTTTCTGCTGGAGATACAGCTGTCCTAAAAACCAAACAAAACAAAACAAATGTAAAGCAAAATCTTACTCGTATACCTCAGGAACATTTTGACTCTTTTAAAACCTTGACTTTTCCAAACTACGGTATACCTTCATCACGGTTGCCTAGCTAGGTGAAACTCCAGTGTGGATGTGGATCGTTTTCATTCTATCATGCCATCGTGTATTTCTCAAGAACATGTTGCTGCTGTAACGGTGGAGGATCGGTATACCGGCTCAGCATTGTCTATCGACCCAACCCTAGTGTGGTCATGTATGTCCATGTAGGGTTGCTCGATACGGGAATTTGGTAGCAATCAACACTGAAATTTTAAACTCGTCCATTTCACACTAACATTTGAGCACTGTTGACTGCGTTTTTAAACAGCACTGATTGGCTGTTGTGTTCACATGCTCAACAGAAATGACTGTGATTGGCAGTGATCATCAGTTCACTGAACTCGCCGCTGTTTACTGAGTATAAACACAGATACAGTCACACGGAGCGTTTCAGAGTCATGATTCATCAGCGGATCACTCGTATGTCAGCTTATAGACAAACTAGCTGATCTTCGTGGCTTTTTAACGCTCTGTGTGCCTGTATCTGTGTTTACACTCAGTAAACAGCGGTGAGTTCAGTGAACTGATGATCACTGCCAATCACAGTCATTTCTGTTGAGCATGTGAACACAACAGCCAATCAGTGCTGTTTAAGAACGCAGTCAACAGTGCTCAAATGTTAACGGGAAATGGACGAGCTTCATTTCAGTGCGATTGGTTCCCAATTCCAGTATCAAGACAACACTATGTCCATGTGTGCGTGCGCATTCATTGTGTGTGTGTGTGTGTGCACATCTGTGTTGGTGTGTGCATCGGGTGCATGCATTCATGCGTGTGTGTGTGGGGGGTGGGGGGTGGGGGGTGCGTGTGCCTGCGTGTGTGCGCTTGCGTGCCTGTGCATGCGTGTTTGAAGTCTGCCATCTTACCTGCTTGTATTTGTTGAGCGCTTGTACGGAAACACAGAACATTCCTCCGCTAGGGCTCGTGCTGCAGGATTATAGTCAGATTAGCTACTAGCTAACGTCTGCAGAAACGGGAGACGCTAACATTCCTTCAGCTCAGATCATCATTATCAGACGATTCACACACTCTCGCGCAGGTTTTCAGATTTTCCTGAATCCGTCACACACACATTTCACTGCCAGATATCTGCGCAGAACACCACACACACACACACACACACACGCACGCACGTACGCACGCACGCTGTAGGTAAATCACTTAATTAAAAACAACAAAAAAAGTTTTTATATAGGAACTATAAGACCATCATTACGCTGTGCGTAACGAATGTACAGAGAACACAAATCGTAGGTATTTTTTGAGGAACAATTAATTTGTTAATGATATGTAGCTATTTAATTTCCCTCGTCCTGTATTGTAATCATGCTCTTTTGTTTTTCTCGGAGTAAAAAAGTTGATCTTTTTTGTTTGTAGTTTTGTCTGTTTAAGGTTAAAGTGCAGGAACACAGTTATTCTATGAACACACACTGCGGTAGTGTAATAATAGCCACTTGTGTATTATTTCGAAGGCTACTGAGTCTCGACACACTTCTGAACGGAGCTTTCGACTGTCTCTGGAGACAATTGAACAAATCTTTCTCCACTCCATCATTATATATATATATATATGTATGTTTTCTATTGGACGTGCGCTTCCAGGAGAACCAACGTTAGAACAGACGTTCACTGCACCTCTGGATGAGTTGTAAATCTGTATTATACCCTCATTTCATGGCCTCGGAATCAAACAAACTTTTGGCAGGCCATTGTTTTGTACTTTTAAGTAGCCTCAATGAACAATAAAGTGCTCTTAAACCACTGACGGCGTCTGCAGAGTCATGCTTTACAGGTTAACACACACACACACTCCTCTGTCGAATGCTCTTGGGGAGAATGGCAAGTTGATGCAAGTCATTTCTTAATTTTGTGCATATTAGATCTTCAAATAATGCATTTGTCATGCTGGAGGGATCATAAACCTTTGAGTTTCTCTTCTGGAGAACATTCAGCAGGGACTAGAACTATTGAATGTCAACATTTTTCTCAGAAAACATATTTCCAAAGGTGCTGTTGACTTGTTGGTAACGACCAAAGAAACAAAACTAAATAGTTTACAAATAAAGTTCTGTGTAATAAACTGAAATGACGTAAGGAAAAACTGTTGAACACATGAAGAAAGGAAGGTGTATTTGGGCAGTGAAAGCCCAGACAGCAGCTGTAATCTGTCAGTAGTTCTTCAGCAAGCCTCTGCCCTTCCTCAGTGTAAATGAAGATCAGCTGCTTCAGTCCAACATCTACATCAGCAGGAGGATGAAGATCAAACCAGGGTGGACATTTCAGCAAGACGATGATCCAAAACACAGCCGAGGAGACTCAGATGCTTTCAAAGAAAGAAATTCAAGCTGTAGAATGGCCCAGCCAATCACCTGAACCCAATCCAATAGAGAATACTCTATTGGATTTCAATAGACACACACACAATAGAGATTTCAATAGAGAAAAAGCTCAGATTTGATAGACCAGACCCACAGAAGCATCAGGATTTTGACAGTGTTGACCACTGAGCCGCCTTCTAGTCTTTCAGATCATCATCATTTACAGCACATGAGAAGCTGATGAAAGGTCTGGAGATGTGCTGATGGCATGTTCTGATACAGACTGAGTTTTACTCTCAACAAACATGCAAATATTACACAGAATAAACACTGCGCTGTGTGAAGCTTCAGTTTTATTATCAGAACGGACAAAAAAAAAAGCCATGAAAGCAGACAGTGAAGACACACACTCACACACACATCAGCATGTTGTTGTTATGGTCATTCAGGCCAGTGAAATTCAGCCTTTTAGAGAGTCTAAGAGTTGCAGCTCGTGTCTGCTGATTCATGTTTAGAAGTACATTTAATAGAAGCTTAAATGACACTGCAGAAATGCTTTTATTATGTAGAGTTTGTCTTGTTTCAAGTCCAAATATCTCAAAATACTTAAGCATGTTCTAGACGAGCAAAAAAAAAATGTTGTGTCATTTTGAGTCAAAATGAATTGAGTTTTTCCCTCAAAATAATCTAAAGAGGCGAGTAAAATCAATGAGTAACATCAAAACAAAAACAGCTTCATTTCATCAACCACCACTGGCAGAAAAAAGAAGCCCACGTGTCTAGAAAATGCTTCTTGATTTAAGAATATTTCGATGAGAAACGAGACACAAACTCTGAGAAAAGCTTTGTTTTAGCAGTGGAGATCTTCAGATGAAGGATCCACACACTGGACAGATTTACTGTTACGATGTCTTCATGGAGGTTTAAGGGTTTTGCTGGAATGAATCAACAGTCTTCGCTTTCATTAAATAACAAATAATATAAGAATAATCTGTGTTTTGAAAACTTCTTTGGAATGACGGGTGAAAAACAGAATACATGTGTGTGTATATATATATGGACGTTTAATACAGATGATGCTGTGTGTCTGATGGAGACTCAGGAGTAACGTGAAGCTTCAGATCAACATTTCCAGCAGTCTCTGAGCTGTTTCAGCATGTGAACGCACAGATGAAGACGTTCAGATGCTCTCGTCGTCACTCATGTCCCAGATCTGCAGGACAGAAGAGGAGATTCAACATATAAACACTCGTCACAATCATCATACAGCGAAGACCAACACTGCAGCAAATACACAGTCAGCATACCAATACTGTAGTACAGTGTTTCTCAACCACCTTCCTGGAAGAACACCAGCTCTGCACACACTCCATGTTCCTCTAACTAAACACAGCTGATTTACATGAACAGCTCATCAGCAGAGACTGAAAGTGCTGTAATGTGTGTGACAGATAAAGGAGACATCCAGAACATGCAGTGCAGGTGCTCCTACAGGAATGTGGTTGAGAAACACCGCTGTAGTAGATACACAACTCAACATATAAAGCATAAATGATGCAGACACTGTGATATTTAAACTTTAGTGTAGGAAAAAACTGAAGAACTATCTACAGAGTATGAATATTCTCTACAGGATGATCTACACCAGGGGTGTCTAACTCAATTCCTGGAGGGCCGAAGCCCTGCACAGTTTAGTTCCAACCCTGCTCCAACACACTTACCTGTAGGTTTCAAACAAACCTGAAGGACTCAATTAGTTTGATCAGGTGTGTTTAATTAGGGTTGGAACTAAACTGTGCAGAGCTGCGGCCCTCCAGGAACTGAGTTTGACACCTGTGCTCTACAGGAATATGGTCATCGTCGGTCTGTAAGGTTTTATCTAACATTTTTGTCAGAATTGAGTCATTCACATTCTTATTAAACAAACTTATTTACACTATATGCTGTTTTTAAAAAGTTGTTTACATTTTAAGACTTTTTATTTAAACAAACAAACAAACTCTAGTTTAGTTCTTTCTTTGAGCCAATTAATATTTCAAATGCACCAATCAGGCTCAGCTTTCAAAATCAGAGTCGACTAAATAAAGCGGCGGCGGCACACAGAATCGAGCAGAAATCTGAAACTAAAAAGATGTGCAAATGTGGTGATTTAGAAACTGTTTTTTGACATTGTGATGAAATCTTACATTTTACATTGTTGAAAAATAAACAGTTATTAAAAAATATATTAAATGTGAAACATATTTTTATTTGTGTGTGTATATAGTCAGTGAAACATTTGACAACTCATCTGCTCATTGTTCTCTTTTAAAGTCTTTTAATTTGATATTAAGCTTGAAGTGCAAAAACAATTGAATTCATAGAGCATATCATTCAATAAATATAATTCAATCAGTCATGTGAAGCATTACAAACATCTGCACTGGACTAAATGTGTAGCACAGCAGTGTTTGCCTAATTTGAACAAGAAAAAAATATGCATCTTAAAACAAATATTATAGAAAACAAAAATGAAACTTTCTCAATCATCAACACATTTATATGTTTTCACTAATTAATAAGCGGACTGATTGTATTTCTTGAAAAGTCATGCTTCAATCTGCCAGATGGAAAGATCAGACGCTTCTCTCTGCATTCACCCTGTCTGTTTTGCTCCAACCTGCACATCTAAGAGAACTTCATTTACATTTAGAGCACATGTAGGGTAAGAGATCTGCTACACACACATGATGTTTCCTATACGGAACGCAAAAACTTTCAATATCTCAAGATCATTCAGAAAGCAGACAGAGCCTCACTCGGGTAAAATAGTTGAGTTAAAGATACCTCAACATATAACCAGGTTATTATAGCACCTTCCCAACTATGGGTTATTTTGATTAAATGTTGATTAATTTGTGTATTACTCATGCTACTATTCATTTTATAGTTATGGCTGTGTAAATAACATACAGTTTATGAAAATGTAGAAAAAGCTTTATTTCCATTATATTTTAAGTTCTGAACGCAGTGCTTTTATCCATATAATATAGGTCAGTCATGAAGCGCGCGGTTGAGTTATTAATAATTAAAAGCGCTGGTGAACAGATATGAAAAACACGACACGGAGAGGTCATTTGATAAAAATAGCTACAATATTATTGCGTTAGAGCTTTAATAAACTTTATAATGCAAAAACAACATTACATACGATATTAATACAGCTGTTCTGTGACAGTTAAATCAGTCGACTGCTGAAATTCAACATTTACAACCCAACTGGTTACGTTATTAATAAATAACCCAATAAAGGTTAAAAGTAACCCAACAAGCACCAAATGTTTAACCCAATTGATTGAGTTATTAAATAAATAGCCAAATTAAGGTTAAAAATAACCCAAAAGACAACCAAATATTTAACCCAACTGGTTGAGTTATTCATAAATAACCCAATAAAGGTTAAAAATAACCCAACATGCACCAAATATTTTTAACTCAGCATTTTTGAGAGTGTACAGTCTTGATTTCAGAGCCAAATGAAGAGAGTTTTCCCTTAAAGCAAGCAGAATAATGAGCCAATGGGGGAAGAACAAGCTGTTTTGCTCACGTCATTGGCAGATTATTTAATGTAAAACTCTTCATTTGGCTCCTTATTTCTGAAAACAGCACTGCAGCTTTAGCTTGTCTGGAAAACACTGCTTGCTTTAAGAAAACAAGACAAAAACAAAACAAAAACTGAGTAAAGAGCAGCAGCATCATAACCAGCAGCTCAAACAAGCCTTTATTATACACTAGTGCTGATCACCACTATAGACTGAACACACACACACACACACCTATTCCATATGTTTTAAACAGCGGATGCCCTTCCAGCTGCAACCCAGTACTGGGAAACACCCATACA